AAGGTGGTAATTGTGTTTTCTCATATAGCAAAGGTGGTAATTGTGTTTTCTCATATGGCAACAGTGGTAATTGTGTTTTCTCATATGGTAAAGGTGGTAATTGTGTTTTCTCATATGGTAAAGGTGGCAATTCTCATATGGCAAAGGTGGTAATTGTGTTTTCTCATATGGTAAAGGTGGTAATTGTGTTTTCTCATATGGTAAAGGTGGCAATTGTGTTTTCGCATATGGTAAAGGTGGTAATTGTGTTTTCTCATATGGCAAAGGTGGTAATTGTGTTTACTCATAATACACAATTTTACTGCATGCCATCGCTATGCTTTATTAACACAAAACATTTACGACCGAGTTCCGTTCCTACGACCAGGTCGTTAAACGGATTGGTCGTTAAGTGAGGAACTCTATACAGTACTGTACTGCATTAGTACAGTACTGTATAGCGTTGCCGATGTACAGTACCGAACAGTGTACTGTACATCGGGCAATGGAAATACTTACCGGGACCCGCAGTGATGATCGCAGGACGTCACTTCCGCCGGCGACACGGCGCGCTGACGCGCAAAGTCGGAGGTCGATCGGCGGTCCGTCGTAAGTGCGAGTGGTCGCAAAACAGGTAAGTCGGTAAGCGAGGAACATCTGTATATGAAAAGGAAGGACAAATTAAATGAAACGTTTTCAGAAGTGATGACCACCCGCATATTTATGGATAGGTCGCCATCTAGTGTAGGATGATGATACATGCAAGAAGAAATGATTACACTATCAAGGTGCAGACAGGTTCAGAGCAATATTTACAGGGCTATTCACAAAAGGGTGAAGAGTCTGGAGACATGAACAATCTAGGACAACATATCTGAACCGGAAAACAAATCTCCAGTTCAGCTATCTTGTCCTAGATTGTTCATGTCTCCAAACTCTTCACCCTTTTGTGAATAACCCTGTAAAACTTTTTTTTCTCTGCACTTTGCCTTTAAAGCTTTCTATGCCGATTGGTTTTATACGTTATTGGGGAAACGTGCAAAATGGAGAAGTGTGTTAAAACAAATATTGACACTCCTATCTTGTTGCCTGTGCACAACACAAGAAGGAAGGCAGTAAAGGATCCATTATGTTGTATTGAAGGGCCAAAGTTAGGACTCTGGTACTAGTGTAAGTGATCAATTGTTTCATTGTGTGTTGGATAATGAAGCTCAAACTGCTTTCACACATGGGTCACCCCTAATAAAAGAGATCTCAACCTGCCCAATAACTTCTTGTGTTCTTATATGATCCAGTGCTGAAATATAAATACGGATCAGTGCTAAGAGTCTTACTTGGATGGCTAAGTGAAGAGAAATAGTAGGATGAAATATTTAAGTTTTCCTGGAGAACATGCTGCTCCAGACTCCTCTTAGTTCCAGCCACTTATATGAAGGTCTAGAGGTCAAATAATCTATCTTTGCCAGCTTTCCATCTTTAGGTTTAGTCTTCCATCGTTGCAGTCTCCTCTGCTGTTTTAAAGCTGCCTACTCACAATTTGCATTAGAAACTGCAGCAAGTCAGACTGAGGCCACCTCCCGTCCAGGCTGGAGGACTTCTAGGATTACTTAGCTCTAAGAGCTCCACTCTGCAGCTGCTAGCAGGGGTCAGGGTTTTCTATTCTAATAAGAATATGCACATATTCATTTGTAGAACCTGGAATATAATTAGCCAATTTAAACGTTTAAAAGTTCAATTTTTTTCAAATTTCTTTACGAGCATTGGGCAGTCTTGAATCGGCCATTGTCAGAAGTCTTCCTTATTACATATACTTTTAATACTGAGCTGGGTCCCTTGGCAGGTTGTTTATTTTATTGCATCTTTTACATTTGTAATTCCAATTCATGTACAATGCATCCTCACTATTTAAGAGGAAAGCCTAGCGATAAACGTCTGTTATTTGGTGCCTTTTGGTTTCCGAACCACTTGCTGATCAGGTGTTTCATCCCCTTCCTGGCCAGGCCATTTTTCCGTAATCAGCACTGAGGTACTTGGACTGACATTTATTCCGTCATGCAACGCCGTACTGAAATTAATTTATCACTTTTTGGGGACAGAGAGCTTTCTTTTGGTGGTGTTTAATCACTACTGGGGTTTTTATTTTTTACTATATAAAGAAAAATGTGTCAAAAAACATTTAAACATGTCCGTTATGGGGTTTTTTTTTTTTTGCTGTCTATGTACCAATGGGGAAATGTCACTTCCAGTACCAAAACATGCAAGAGGAAGCTAGAGGACATCTCTCAAAGTGAGGAAATTTCCCCTTTTAGACAGTTGTTTCAAGAACAGATGTCACCAAATGGGATTTAAGATTTGCTTTCAAGTGTTTATGAAGAAAACAAGGCAGTCACATTTCCTATGCAGGTAGCTTAAAGCAGGTCAGGAACTCATTTGTAAACAGGCCATGTTAGCAGTCTTCATGATGAGTTGCTGGAGAAAACACTCTTTCCATATGCAGCATCCTTGGCATTTGTTATTGGGATCTTTTGGAAGTGAAGATTCAGCCAAGTCCTCAGGGAAGTGTAGAAAAGTGGGAAGTGTTTGTTAAGCTTACGACCTTAAAAGGAGAACTATGAGGGGAGTGCTTCTCACTCAGCCTCATAGTTCTAGCCAACCTGTGACAATGAGACTGTCACAGGTCGGCTCAGTAGGTCGGGAAGTGAGCGAACACATACCGGCGTTCGCTCACTTCGATCCTGTCATGGCTCTCTGCCGTGACAGGGGGAAGAGACTGGATTCCCCTCCCCCCGCTCCGATCCTCCAGCGCTGACTGGCGGAACGGACAGGGGAGGGGGCAGAGCCAGCTGTCACTCACGCAGCTGGGCGGATCCAGACATAAGGCCCCATTCCACACTGAGCGATTTATCGCGTGATTTTTGCAGCGATATCGCTCATATTTCCACGCGATATCGCTCTATGTAGCTTCTCCAATCCATTTCAAATGGAGCTGTTCACATCTCGCCGCTCAAAATCGCTTGTAGCTTGTCGCTCCTACATGACCCTTTTTTCGAGCTATATTGCTCCTGATTGCATACAGCCCAATAGGAAAAAGTCACGCGACACGTCACTCAAAATCGCGCATTTTCATGTCGCTCAGTGTGAATGGGGCCTTATTGTCGGGATCCACTTCAGCTGCGGCGTCTCAGTTGTATACTGCGATGGTGGAAGGGTTCGCGGCGTTTTCCTCCTCCGATCCCTATCCAGCCATAGAGGAGGGTGACGTAGAGGCCTGGGAAGGCCCGTTGGCGCCTTTCTCACACCTCCGGTGATCCGAGCGAGAGCGATCGCCGGTTCGGGCTACAAATGTATCCATCCGATGCCCTGATCAGTGCTGTTCGATAGAGAAGCCTGATCGGTGGTGTCGGGGGAGCAGCAAATAGATTTTATAGGCTTGTGGTGGTCCCGAGTAGCCGGAGCACGTTACATGTGCAGCCGATGAGGTGGGCGCCGGAACCGGAAGTCTCCATAGTTCTCATTTAATGAGATCTGTACTTTCATCACTGTGCCCCCCGCTCCCCGCAAACTGGCTCTTTGGAGCCAAAGTAACAGATCCCATAGAAAGTTTGTGGGGATTTCCAGATATATGCCCCTGTGAATTCCCTGTTAAGATTAGACTCTCATATATCTTATAAAACTCAAGTTAAGGTCTGTATGTTGAGGAGCTTAAGAGAGGAGCTTATTTAAAAGGAAATAGTGCTTCCTGTTCATTCACATACGTGTAAATATGCCAGTTATGAGAAAACACAGGTGTGATCAATACTGTGCACCATACTGTACAATCCCTGTGTTCATTCAAACTGAATGGATCCTCCCGGCTGTCCACCACCTCGCCTGTCACTTCCCTGTTGGGTGCAGTCAGCCTACTCAGGGAGTATTTATCCGGCAGTGATCTTCCGCCGTATGGGAAAGAGCAGAGCAGCGGGGGGATGTCGCTCGGATATTTAATTTATGACCGCAGTCATTTACATCCTGTTCTTTCCAGTTCCATTTGAGGTATGTCTTTTCACATCCTAAGACTTTACCAGCTAAAGCTTCCTTGTATCATTACAGATTAAATTAAAAACAAAATGACAATTAAAAGAAAGGTGTTAAAAACATAACATTTTATGTTCAGAGCATAATGTGAAAAATATTTACATTTTCAAATAATTATGCACAACTGCATATAAAGAAAAAATGTAGTCAATAATTGAAATATCCAACATATTAAAGTGAACCTGTGCCCAGAATATGCACATACAAGTACTTACATATTCTGAACAAGCATTAGAAGCACTTTTACATTCAGCTCTGTAGCTAGACGCATTGTGGAGAAATTCACCACAGAGACACTGAAATCACCTTTATTCTTTCTTTGAGAGCAGATCTTAGCAGCCTGCCCACCATATAATGGTGTTTGTAAGCTGGGGAGGTCAGGAATCACTCTGTTACAGCATGTTAGGAATACGTAAAACCTTTAAAAAGGCCATAGTCTGGGCACAGGTTCTTTTCAGACCACAAACAACAAATTCAAGGATTTTCAAATAAACTGAATAAAACTTAAATGCCTAATCAAAAACTGCTGCAAAAAGTATATGGTACAACCTTTGCGTCAAGCAAGATGTCTGAAATTAGAATACTGTCAGTACAAAGAGTAATAGTCCCAACAACCCATCAAGTAACAGAAAGCTCCGATTGGAAACAATAGTTAGTGAACTCTACACTTGTAGTTTCTAAAGTCCCACACCAAAGAGATTTTGGAAATGTCGCCAATAAAGCAAAGTTGAATATCCAAACATCAACAACAGAAATCCTCCATTTTATTCAGTCTTTTGTTCTTTGGAAAATCCCACATATTCAGAAATAAAAGAAAAAAACAAGTGGGAAATAGAACTAGCCCACAGAAACATTTAGGAATCAGTGTCTCAACATAGCAGTCCAACAGTTTACAGCTGGCAATTCATCAAATAACTGACCAACTAAAAAGGGGAAATCCACAATCTTTCAGAGTTCCATCTCTTCCTCTTCTCTGCCCCACATGGGGTCAACATCACAGTCTACATTTAAAATGTGTGGCTTGTCTGCCTCCAGCCGATCTACTTGCCGAAGGAATGGGGTTCTAGGAGTATTTTGTGTGGATGCTTTGGTTTCCTCCTTAGGTCTACCAGTAAAACTTTGTAGTTTATCAAGAAGAAATTCAGGTTGGGGTTTCCAAAGGACGAGCTCCATTGATGGACGATTCCTACAACAGAAATACAATAAATATATTTTCTAAAAGCTGAAACTTTCACACAAGCTTGTTCTTTCAGATTTTACTCAGGGGCTCCAAACAGCTATTCCACTTTATAACACATTCACAATAGTAGTTTCATTTTTAATGAGACTGTAGGCCCGGCCGTGCATTTATGGGTAGGTGCAGTAAAACACAAACCATGGTGTAGTAATGCACAGCAGGAAGATGAACTTGCATATATAAAAAAGAAAAAAGGGCACTTTCATGTACAATTACATTTGACAGATTCTTAAACACTTGTGCCTGCATATTCTTTGTGGAACAGAGCAATTTTTACATTTCCACAATGGGCTTGTTTATTCAGCAATAACTTTGCCATTATTTAATCACTTTTTCACCTTAAATCCCCAGGAGTCCCATTTTTTCAATTACAATGCTTGGGTTTCACATTTTTTTTTAGGTTTTGTAGTCTAACCCAACATATAATACATTGATTTTCTATGACAGGTAGGACTTCAATTTAGTAGCAAGTTCAGATTAAAATAATGTATTTCCTTGGTTTTTATCAGGAATAGACAGCATTTATTTTCATTTTTTTTTCTGTAATTTTTCCCCTAATGCAACGATTAAGTAAATTTGCACACCACCATATATTTACCACAAAACATGATTAAAATGATCATATTAGTGCAGCTTTTAGTTAACATGCGGAATGGTAAAAAAGTGAGTGTCAGCATTTTATTTTAGGAGAGCTTTATTCCCTTCTCAATGCTGCAGACGCACGTGGGGGTGAAAACAGCATGATCATTTTAAGTCAGGTTGACAAGGTCACAAATTAGCACAACACTGACGTCCTCAATGGTTTGCAATTAGGGATGCACAGATACCGGTTTTTCGGTATCAAGTACTGATATTTTTTTTCGGTATTAGCAGATACTGTGCTGTGTGCCCCCAATTATCAGGAAGCCCGGCGGCAGATCGTGACCCTCCGCCCAGCTTTCCGATTGCCTCGGAAGCCAGTGTTCCATCGAAAAAACATCTGATTCACTTTCCAAAGCTGCCTGACCAATCAGGAAGCCGGGCAGCGGGTCATGATGTGTTGTCAGGCTCACTGATTGGTCAGGAAGCCAGACAAGTGAAGCTGGCTTTCTAGCCAATAAGGAAGCCAGGCGGCATGCCATTTCTAGGATTCCGGGTAGGAATGCACCGATACTCCCGGTACCGAGTACCAATTCCGGTGCTTCCGCTGGCATGGAGCCGGCTTCCCGGGCAATCACGAAGCTGGGCAGCGGGTAATGACCCGCCGCTCTGCTTCCTGATTTCCCATGAAGCCAGCTCCATGTTTGGGCAGCTCGATGCCAATTGGCCTGGATGCTGGCTTTCCAGCCAATCAGCATGGAGCCGGCTGCTCGGCTGGCTCAATGCGGATTGGCCAGGAAGCCAGCCAATAAGCATAGAGCTGGCTGGTGTGGCCAATCAGGAAGCGGGTCATTACTCGCCGCCTGGCTTCCTTATTGGCCGGGAAGCTGGCTTCATGTTACCCTATGGCACTGCTGGTCAGTGGAAATCATCCTCTGACCGGAAGTTCTGGTATCAGGGAAGGTATCTCGCCCAAATACTCGGTATCGGCGCATCCCTATTTCAGGCCTAATAAAAAAAAAATTTAAAAGCCTGCAATGCGAGTCATGAAAATGTCCACACAAACAGCATCACTGGACCTCTACATTACCACAATAAATCACTTACAAAAAGGTGGAAATTACCAATATAGCAAAGCACACTGTACTCCTATAACTATCTGAGGTTAACAAATTAAACACTAATTTGTCCCAACCCCCAACTGGTCATCTAGCCTGTATGTAAATGTGCAGAAGAGAATAAAAAGGCATGTGAAATAAAAAGTGAATTTACTAAATACTTTAAGTTTTAGATAGACTGGGGAAGGATCAGACCCTGTGTCAGGTTTTCATTGCTGTCTACGTCTCCACTGGGGAGATTCGCCACTACTTGCCCTGGTGACCATTTTCAACGAGACAGAAAGTGATGGAAATCCAACTTCTCTCAGTTGTTATTCTAGCAAGAGGTGACGGGCAATCTTCAAATGGGAACACATTTTCCCAGGCTAAGATAATTCCCCTAACTTCAGGAAGATTTTTCTTTCACTTCCAGTTGCATCAGGACAGGAATAAAAGATAATCTACCCAGGAGTAGAAGTGTACTAGGCTCCATTCACACCTCTATATTTAGGTGCAATTAGGGATTCCTGCACACCGCATGTAATGGTATGTGATATGATTACATTCGGTTAGGAATCAATCACTCTCCCTGGACGCAATGATTGTGCATCCAGGGAGAGTGTTTTCTAGCATGTAATCATACCGCATACCATTAAATGCCGTGTGCAGGCGTTTACATGCAACTGCTGTCACCTGATCAATAACTTGAATAGGTGACAGCTGTCACTTGTAAACGCCAGATTAGGGATTTCTGATGCAGGAATCCCTAATCCCACCTAAACCTACAGATATGAATGCGAGTGTATATTAGTGTCTGTAGTACCAAACCAGATATAGTTAAATTTCATTTTAAAGTATGAAATTCTCGAGCGGCCCCCATGAGAGAAACAATTTGTTGAGTGGCCCCCCAGGTGAATTGAGTTTGAGACCCCTGGTCTAAAGACACTTTAAATTTGTGTACCAGTAACACTGAACTAGGCTGAATACAATCCTGAGATTGAAGAAATGGGAGACAAAATGCCTTTACACTTTTAATCTGGACACACAAGGTGCACAGGTTTTACATATCGCCCCCCCACGGGTTATTGTAACTGTACTGTCACCACTGTGCAGCTGTCACAAGCATGCACACACTGTCCATCTGAGCGAACATTATAATAATCCTCCCAAAGAAAAAAAAAAATTACTTTGCGAGTAAAGGAAGGAGTATGTG